GATATATAATTGTTAGAGGCAAAACTAATTATGAGTGTATCGGTGGTCTAACAAAGATAATGAATAATACTATATAATACTGTATAATATAATAATAATGATGATGATGATGATGATGATGATAATAATGTCATATACAATATATGATATTATTATTATGTCATATACAATATATATTATACAATAAAGTTGTCTCTACGCAATTGAGCAAAAAGTAAAATATCCATTATATACAGACTGACAATTGAAGAGTACCACAGTGAACGTGAACGATATATAATTGTTAGAGGCAAAACTAATTATGAGTGTATCGGTGGTCTAACAAAGATAATGAATAATACTATATAATACTGTATAATATAATAATAATGATGATGATGATGATGATGATGATGATGATGATGATGATAATGTCATATACAATATATGATATTATTATCATTATGTCATATACAATATATATTATACAATAAAGTTGTCTCTACGCAATTGAGCAAAAAGTAAAATATCCATTATATACAGACCGACAGTTGGATTTGGAGAGTACCACAGTGTACGAGTGTATTGTCAGATCTTTATACAAGGAATTCGCAATTATGTTCAGACTTTGGAAGATGTTGTCCTTGAGTTTCTTGCTCCTGACTTTCTCTGCATTTGGTGGTATGTAAGCCTGATTTTTCTTTATTGAATTCCATTAAGGTTAGCCAATCAGAAGTAAACAAACCAAATAATTGAAAACTATAAAAAGTGTTCTTACCAGACAGTCTCAAACTACCTCATTTTTCTTTCGTGGTCCTTCTTCTTTCTTAGCCTTAGTAATAATTTTCTTCAGGTTTTAAAATGGTCAATTAGCAATTTTTGTTGTATTTGCTTTTACAGTCAACAGTAAATACTTGCTGATTGTAAAGGAGAAGTTTAATTTTGTTAATTTGAGGACTGATTTAGCATAATCAGGTGGTACACAAGATCCCATTTTTGAAATTACGAATCGTTACACCTGGCACGTAACAAATTTAGTTTAGAGCGTCTACGTAACGAACGTAATTTAAAAAATGGGCCACCCTATATTATGTAACTGAGTATGCTAAATAAAATTAACGGTATCAGGTTTACCTGAAAGTACAACTATGTAGGGCTCTACATGTTTCATTTTAGCTTCAAAAATAGGTTTATTTAGTCGTGAGAAGTATCTGCCTGTTTATAAAATGCCAACCCAAACCCAGAAAGACTATAGCCTCTTAAGACCTGAAGCTAAAATTTCACTGCAAATTGTTACATTCGGTAAATAATATTTATTATCATTTTGGTGAAACGTAATGTTTACTCTATAATAATAATATTAATAATAATAATAATAATAATAATAATAATAATAATAATAATAATAGTAATAATAATAATAATAATAATAATAATAATAATAATAATAATAATAATAATAATAATAATAATAATAATGGTGATGATGGTGATGATGATGATGATGATGATGATAATAATGTCATATACAATATATGATATTATTATTATTATTATGTCATATACAAAATATATTATACAATAAAGTTGTCTCTATGCAATTGAGCAAAAAGTAAAATATTCATTATATACAGACTGACAGTTGGAGAGTACCACAGTGAACGTGAACGATATATAATTGCTGGAGGCAAAACTAATTATATGTATACAATGAAGAAATGTTGAATTATATATATTAGATAATGAATTACATGTATATAATGGTAGTACATTTGGCGCCTCATAATAATGATGGTTATTTCATTAATTTATTTCCAGGCAAAGCAGTAAACACAATAACACATTAACACAACAACACAAAGAACAACACAGTCTCCTTTTTCTTGAGTGTATCGGTGGTCTAATAAAGATAATGAATAATACTATATAATACTATATAATACTTTTTTATAAACTGCCTGTTTATAAAATGCCAACCCAAACCCAGAAAGACTATAGCCTCTTAAAGTCAGGCTCCGGAGGAAAAAAAATTTTTGATATGTTGTAGAATTGATTTTTCACCGTTCCCCAGTTTTTCGTCAAACAACTTTTTTCTGTCTTGGAAAAATCAGTTCTACAACATATCAAAAATTTTTTTTCCTCCGGAGTCTGACTTTAAGATCTGAAGCTAAAATTTCACTGCAAATTGTTACATTCGGTAAATAATATTTATTATCATTTTGGTGAAACGTAATGTTTCCATTATTACAGTTGAATCAGCAATTCACGCCCTGTCGATGTCCAGAGCTAATGGACGTCTGTTGTCGAGTCATTCACTACATCATTCATCAGTGAGGGGTTTGACAGATTGTGTACAACTTTGTTTGCGTAGCTTTGAAGAGTGTTCCTCTATAGCTTACGATAAAGACAGCCGAATGTGCGAAGTGTTCGCCAGTGTAGTTGGATATCCACAAGTCACACTAGTATTCACAACCCGTGTACTTTTGTACATGAAGGCAGTCCGTGATTGTACGGACGTAACTGAGAAACGGCCGAGTTGCGAAAGTGGTGTTTATCAAATACAACCCTGCACATTGTGTGACGCGTTTCTCGTTTATTGTGAAATCGACACTGATTGTGAAGCGTGGACGGTAGGTTTCTAATACAGTTTGCCCCAGGGACATAGCCAGGATTTTGAAAGGGGGGAGCCGTTATGCGAGATACCTATGACCCCGGCGGGGTCCAGAGGGACGAACACCCCCCCCCCCCTGTAGCGCACTCTGAACGTTTTAAGGACTGTTTTGAGAGGATAAAGTGAAAATTGTATTAGACACATCATAAATAATATTAGTAGGCCCAGCAACAATTATAATAAATCAACAGAATCCATGAATTCGAAAGACAGGTGTCCCAGGGAGAGATTTTCACAGACTGAGGATCCACCCACCTCAGCCCCATAGGTAAGAACATTTATGACTAGGGCACCTCTAGATGGCCGGAAATTACACTTTCATACTTAAATTTGAATATGTTTTCCTTTCTTTTTTCCTCAAAAAAAAAAAAAGAAGAAATTCTTATCTAAAATAGTCATATTCACGAAAAAAGGGCATGAAAAACCAGATCACATTCTAAAACAAATTTATGCCCACTCTCCTCAGCAGTCACAAGACATACTCTGAGTCAGGTACCGACTTGATGTTTTGTAAGGTTGAGGGGGAGGACATTTTGTGAGTCGGCACCTACCTCAGACTTACCAGTTGGAGCTGAGGAGCAAAAATGTGAGGAAATAGTGCCTCTAGATGGCCAGAAACAAAACTTTTAGTAAAATTAATTATCATCACATCACCGTTACCGGTAGTCCAAATGTAGCGCCAAAAAAAAATCTCATGGTCTTTTTTATAAGGGATTTTCTCCAACCAAAAAGATCTTATTAATGTGTGTGATATACCATAGAAAACAAAGCTTAAAAACATTGTCTTTGAGTATGTTCTTTACATACTTCAAAACCGTGATTTCACAACCACCTCAGCCCCACCATGGTTTGGGGCTGAGGTGAGAAAATTTGAGGAAATAATACCTCTAGATGGCCGGAAATCACACTTTCACGTAGTAAAATTCATCATCATCACATCACCATTACATAGTCAAAATGAAACGCCAACACATTTCTCATGTACTTTATCAGAGATCTACTTGATATCCAGGACAACTTGACCTAACTATAATTTAATATATAAGCTTATAACTATCATCAACAAATCACAACTTTATTTTTCGCCTTTAGCACAATTTCCTTCACATTTTAATATTATTAAGATTACTATCAATTATCATCATCACCATCATCACCATCATCAACATCACCATTATTATTATTATTATTATTATTATTATTATTATTATTATTATTATTATTATTATTATTATTATTATTATTATTATTATTATTATTATTATTATTATTATTATTATTATTATTACTATTATTTATATTATTACTATTATTATTATTATTATTATTATTATTATTATTATTATTATTACTAATTGTATAGTATTATTAAACAATAGGCCCTACTTTAAAGAAGCTTGCAGAAGGATAAAAACCAAACTGAACCATACAGTATCACATTTCTGTATCTTAAAAGACTTGGCCTGGGATTTATGGATTTTAAAAAATCACGCTTAGACATGTGTTATAATTATAGTAGGCTAGGCCTGTGCAAAACGAGTACTGATGCATTTTTACGTATTTTAGAAGTATTCATTTTGAGTGCTCCCAGGAAATAATTTGTATTGGCTCAAAAAAAAGCCTTAAAAATTTTACACTGTGTACAAAGGTGGGGAGCCGCGGCTCCCTGGATACGTCCCTGGTTTGCCCTCTTATTCGAAGCCCGTTTTTCAAAGACAAGTACCAACTAACAAACTTTAATCCTTTTACCCTATAATTGTAAACTGAACTCGGAGAGCACCCAACATTTTCAAGTCCCAAAGGTTGTCACAAATTGAAGGGTTGAATGTTAATATTAATTTCAATTTAGTTTTTCTTTTGTAAATATTTATGAATATCATTGACCTGATTCCCTTCAAGCTGATGACCGAATTCGATGCAAACCCATGTTTCTTCACGGGTATTGCCTCTTAAAATTTCTTTACAACAGACCTGGTATAGGTTTACCGGGTTGTCCGGACACGAATAAGAAGCAAATTACTGTACTTTTGCATACATTGCATATTCATTTATATACTTTACTGTGTTATTAAGCCTATGAGTGTGGCCTATAATTGAAATAACAAAAATCATAATCTTATACCGGTAGGTATTTCAGCGTCGACAAGATGGCTCTGTAGATTTCTACCAATCTTGGCAAAATTATATATCTGGATTTGGTGATTTGAGTGGCGAGTTTTGGCTCGGAAACGAGAAAATCCACAAAATTACGTCGTCAGGAAAGTATGAATTTCGGATAGATATGGTAGATAGCGATGGCAGTGCTTTTCACGTCACCTACGAGTCAATTGAGATTGGAAGTGAAGCAGAAAACTTCAGAGTGGATTTCGGAAATTACATCGGCGTTAAGTCAACTGCCGGTAAGGACTACTATTGTCAACTATTATTTTGATTATACAGGTCTCCCTCCTATTTGAGACTCCTACAATTAAAGACCACCTCTAATTAAAGACCACTTTCCTGAACGCCTATCTTTTATCATTAGCTGTTCCCTCTAATTTAAGACTCCCTTAGAGACCAAAAACCATGGTTTTGGAGGACCAAACTGGAAATTTTCCCTATAATTAAAGACCACTATAAAATAAATAGTGATAATGCATTTATTCTATAATAAATGTTGTTAATTGACTTCAACCTAAAAGTATTAGCCAATGCACATCATAAGATGATGTTTTATGTGTGATTTGTGTATACTGAATACCGAGCAATGGTGCTCTTAGTGGTATTTTAATGTAAAGTTGGATAAAACGAGTACAGGACTTGATGTCTGGCTACCAATAACTGCATTATTAAGAATAAAAAACAACATGTAGTAAGTACATAAATTCTAAAACATTTAATGTATTGTTTCTTAATTTCTCTCTAAATGGAGAAATCTAAAGACTACATTAAGTGCCTATCTTTAATTATAATGATTCTATTAGACACCAAAGATAGGTTTTGGCTGACAAAACTGAAAATTTCCCTTTCAATTAAATGCTACTAATAAAATATATAGAGGCAGTTTTTTTTTATAGACTACAGACATCAAAATAATATACATTAAGCCGATGTTTTGTGTATACCATGCTGCACGTTCAACACCGAGGGAACCAGTCAACAGCCACCCAGCAAAATCGCCCCATAACAAACTTGCTCCCTGACTACACACAGTTTCCTCCTACAAACTCGCCCCCTTCAAACTCCCCCCCCCCCCTAACATCTCGTCCACTAATAAACTCGCCCTCTAACAAATGACTATGACTTTGTGGAAACACTCAGCATTTCAATTATCCTTTCACGTAATATTGTATTTTATTGTCATTGTAATTGCAAATGTTGGTCGAATAAATAAATGAAAAGATAATAAATTTAACGAAAGAAACAATATAAAAAACATTAAAATCAACATCAATGTTTCCACATGGCACTGAAATTAGTTCTACAGAACTACCTATAAGTCATTGTGTTTGGGGGTGGGACGAGTTTGTTAGTTGACGAGTTTCTTAGGAGGCGAGTTTGATAGGGTGGCGAGTTTGTACCAGGTGACTGTGTATGGTCAGGGGAAAAGTTTATTAGGGGCGAGTTTGACAAAGGGCGAGTTCGTTAAAGGGCGAGTTTGCAGGGGCGAGTTGACTAGAATCCGAACACCAATAGTGTTAGTAAGACGTTGACATTTAAAAAAAATTTTATTTTGGAAAGGGATGTTGAATGCATTGCTTGATGTGTTGCTACCGAGAAATGGTCTAATAAGAATCAGCATGCAGAAATCCATTCTAAAACACTTGGAACAACAAAGAAAATGCGTCATATCATAGTTTTGGCAAATCTAACAGAAAATTTTCCCATTAAAATATAGGCCTAAAAGTGATTTTAATGCATTGAAAAAAATAAAATATGACGATGATATGACTATATACATTGAAACAATACTAACATAAGATGATGTTTTGTGTATACAGTGGATATTGAATAGGCCTACTGATAGTTTAGTAGGACGGTGTTGTTATTAACATTGTAATGGAGATGTAGAACGAGCGCAGGACTTGATGTGTGACTGTCGAGAAATGGTATATCAAAGAATCAATAACAGCATACGAGTGGGCACGTTCTCCACTCATCGGATCTGCCCCTGACAAAGTATACCAAGCAACACGTAAAATAATAATATAAATATAAAAATTATTGACATAATCTTTAAACTTTGCATTAAAATAGTTGAAAACGAAAACAGACTTTGCAAATTACAATTTGTAAAACACGGGGCCTATACAAGGCGTACTGCAACCTTTCTCACTGTGAGAAGCACCGTATACATTTCCTAGCGTTGAGCTGCTGTAAACATTTTGTATTTTTAGTTAAATGAATAGAATAATACTGTTCTCACCTCATTTTCCAGTACAGGAAAATAGTTAGCGATTGCAATGTGCTTGGCACAAGATTTTTTTTTCTGGTTGTACTAATATTGCTTCTGACATTATCCCCAATAGAGGTAAAGGGTTTGTTAAGGGCTTTTGCATTTGTACCGTCATCAGTAACTTTCTAAGCATTGGAATTTGTTAGAGTTGGAATGAATGTCAAATGAATGGAGATCTGTTCTCGAAGCATACTGCAGGGGCGGACTAAGGGGGGTAGGCGAGCCGGCGCATTCCACCCCACCCCTTTGGAAAGTTAAAAAAAAAAGTAAAAGAAAGGAAGAAAAAAATAAATTATTGATCGCCCAAAACGCCTCAGAATTAATTTCAGGGTGGGGCGACTAGAAAATAAAAAGTTCGCGTAGGGAGAGAGCAGCTTAGCTCAGTCGGCTAATCTGGTGGTAGCCGCTGTGTGTGCGCTGAACCGTGGAGATCTCTAGGTCCCCGGTTCAATTCCCATCGCTGCATCTCCTTGTGTTTCAGCTAGAGGGCTGAAATACAAGTTACAATAGCGCACCGTCTTTCGGATGAGACGTTTAAGCCGTTGGTCCCATGCGCATTATGGCCCATGTGCACGTTAAAGAACGCAGTACACTCTTTGGAAAAGAGTAGGGGATTGTCTCCCGGTGTACTGCCCAATCACCACCAGAAGGACTCCACTGGAAATAAGTCTTCTTCTAGACTTTCGTGGGCCATCCTTGGTGTTTACACCGAATAAATCCAATCCAATCCGCGTACCCCTTAGGGTAGTGTTGTCTCTCTTACGGATTCTGAATCCGCCCCTACTGTGCATGATCAATATTGACCATAAGATAAGATTATGTTTTGAATGAAGATATTAAATGAGGGAATGAAAAAAAATCTTAACTAGTCAATCATCTTGTTTTTTTGTCTTTCGTGGGGGTCACCCCTTTATTTGTCCTCTTATTTTCATGGTTTCTTTTTTTCATTTTCACTCGTATACAATGAATATACTGTACCGTCTTGTTGTTGCAGCTGAAGGGTTTAGTTACACCAATGACGCCGCGAACTATTACAACAATGGCATGATGTTCTCTACATTTGACCGAGACAACGATAATTTACTAGGCAGCCTACTACCCTGCAGTATGCAGTATAAGTGCGGTTGGTGGTTCAACGGATGTTACCGTTCTAATCTTAATGGTAAATATGAATCGGGAATGATCTGGGACGTTACCGGCAGCAAGCGTGTTTTACGATTCTCGGAAATGAAAATACGAAGAATTGTCTGAGGACAAAAAAAACGACGCATTATTACCGTATGCCTTACCTTTGAGGCCTACTATTTTAAAAATTTGTATGCATTTGAATCACAATTCGTGAGCAGAATTCGCAATATTTATTCAAATTCAAATTTGTCTTTACTCTGAAAATACTCTTTCAATACATAAGTAGGCCTACCGGTCTCCCAGGAGGCCCAGATTCAACAGTAAAACCATCAAGTAACAAAATAAATATGTTATATAGGCCTATATAAAATCAAGATAGTTAAGTACTTTCCATATTTAATAATTTAATGCTTTAAAATTTGCCGCGGATGTCTAATGGATAATTAAATATCATAGAAATTTATAAAAGTTATTTATATTTCTTTATTTGAATATGTATTTACTTATCTAGTGAAGTTTTGCCAAAAAGCCTAAGTAGAAAATAATCTACAGACAAGTTTATTATTTGCAAAAATTAGGGGAGGGTGTGGGGGGGGGGTAATTTGCTGAGGTAGTATACAACTACAAACTCGGAGAGACTCCGGACGATTCGGCCAACACGGAGAGGACTTGTGAAAGCTCTTAACTCGTAGCGGTTATTTTTAACATGCATGATCAAAAATTCGACCGAGTCTATTTCAACCCCGAGTTGTCTTTTTAACATGTTAATGACCATTGAATAGATTTTGAAGAAAAATAAAAGAAAACGGCTTAAAGTAAATCTGTGAATTTCCTGTGTAACTTGTATAGTACTCGGGTCATTCCAAACAACTTCGGCCCGAAACTAGTCAGCGCTGTGTTCCTTATATGTGCCGCGGTGCATAGGCCTATGTAATTTCTAATGACTTTGTGGTAACAACGTAAGCTAACTGAAGCGAACACCTATTTGATTAATTGTATCCACTTCTTGTAAATACCGTTTTCTACGGTGGCTGATTTCCGCCAAACAGTTAAAAAAATGTTTTATTAGGGCGTTATAACGCCCTATTACGACGTTATAACGCCTTAATTAGGGCGTTATAACGCCGTAATAGGGCGTTATAACGCCCTAATAAAATTTTTTTGTTACTGTTTGGCGGAAATCAGCCACCGTATTACTAAGCCTGGGGCGGTGCGAAAATTGGACTCTCATGCATCCATGGGCGCAGATCATGGGGACAGTGCCGTCATAGAGTTCGTGGGGCCCTGGCAAAGAATGTTATTGGGGCCCCTCTAAGCGAGCGTTAATTTTGTTGTGGCTAGGGGCCTCGTAGGGCCCCATTGGGGGTCCGAGAGGGCCTGTCGCGCTCAGAGCTTATGGCATTTAGGAATTGTTAACTGTAAATCTGTGAATTTCCTGTGTAACTTGTATAGTACTCGGGTCACTCCAAACAACTTCGGCCCGAAACTAGTCAGCGCTGTGTTCCTTATATGTGCCGCGGTGCATAGGCCTATGTAATTTCTAATGACTTTGTGGTAACAACGTAAGCTAACTGAAGCTAACACCTATTTGATTAATTGTATCCAATCTTGTAAATACCGTTTTCTACGGTGGCTGATTTCCGCCAAACAGTTAAAAAATGTTTTATTAGGGCGTTATAACGCCCTATTACGACGTTATAACGCCTTAATTAGGGCGTTATAACGCCGTAATAGGGCGTTATAACGCCCTAATAAAATTTTTTTGTTACTGTTTGGCGGAAATCAGCCACCGTATTACTAAGCCTGGGGCGGTGCGAAAATTGGACTCTTATGCATCCATGGGCGCAGATCATGGGGACAGTGGCGTCATAGAGTTCGTGGGGCCCTGGCAAAGAATGTTATTGGGGCCCCTCTAAGCGAGCGTTAATTTTGCTGTGGCTAGGGGCCTCGTAGGGCCCCATTGGGGGTCCGAGATGTGTTTTTAAATTTTTTTTTTCTGGTACCGTACATCAAACATATTAATTAGATCTTTATGATTGCCGAAAATAGTTGATAATAGATCATGAAAAATTAACTGGCGCTTACTGTGGGTTAACCCAAAAAGAAACTTTAAGCTCTCAATATAAAAATAGATCAAGATAATCTGTTCATCAATTAAGAGATGCATAAGTAATACCGTACTGTTTTTCTTTGAGTGTACTTAATTTTACTAGCAGTAATTAAAGGCTTTTTAAGGTAAAATTCATTGAAAACCGAATTGTGTCACACTGGAATTTTTTTTTTCAATTTTTTGTCAAAGACAATATACTGTATCTTTAAGTAGAATGTTTTTCCCGAATATGCTAAGTGGAAAATGCCCGCTTTGACTTTTATTTGCCATAATATATGCTCTGATGCTGAAGTACAAGCAATGCTGAAGGCCCAAGCTGAAATGCTGGAAGAATTCATGATAATCTCTGTCAGAGCTCAAGGCAACAAGGTATACTACATACAGTATTGTATTAGTACATTATGTATATTAGCACAGAAAGCTTCAAAATTATCCGATTCAATATTGTTATTTAATGAAGAGAAATTTAGAAGAAGTAATTAAATTATTTTTTGTATCACTTATTGTATTTTATTTGAAACTTTAAATACAACACTGAAATTTATGTGTTATACGTTTAATAAATGAATGATAACCAGAAGATAGGCCTACAGTAAACAGTATAGTAAATATGTTGACTTCAGATATTGAAGATTATTATTTATATTTACTTAATGTTTGTGTTTATTTATGGCAATCTTCCTTGTGCAATATAGAAAAATTCAAATATATAATATTTATTTAAACCAAAAATTGTATGTCGTTAAGTGTAAATTATTCTATTTATCAGAATAACTCAGTTGTGAACTCTATAGTTTACATTGACTCGGTTGATATTTCTTTTATTTTACTGTAACTGGAAACAAAGAAATGCAAAATATATAAATTATGCTGTAAAAGATTCTACACTTTATACTGTACTAATAATCATCCATTGTTATAAGTTAAATTAATTATGCACTATTTTATACATTTTTTATAATTTGTATTCTGATTCTTGTATTGTAGAAGCTATGAGGCAAGTTTATTTTTCATTATTAAGAAATAGATTGATTTATCAATGTGCAGTGTAGTTTAAATGTTTATTTAATAAAACAAAGTTGTTAAGTCATTTCTAATAAAATAGTATTTTGATCAGAATTGTGTTATATTGTTTACCATAGTGCATTACAAATAATAAATTGAATCAATTCATAATAATAAGCAATATGACTAATATACCATTTATAAATAATTTCTTCAAACCATATCATTTGTTTCATTAGTTGAGATCTCTAAGTTGTTGCCACGGAATATGTATTGTCTGTGACCAGAGTAAACAAGCATGGTGCCTAGAGACATGTTCACACTATCAAATTGTAATACAAGTTCTTTTGATTTGCCTGTGTATGGGTATGACATCATCATGCCCATGGAAATCATAGCTATTTGTCTCATAAAACTTCTATGGTGTGGACAGCGATTAATGTATGGCTTTGCCACGCCTAAATATTGGGGGGAGGGGCACAATAGTTTCAGAATAGATAAGTGAGTAGCACATAACATTACTATGAATTGAAGTTTTTAAAATTTAGTGGCAAAACTACTGGATCTGCCCCTGACATTCAGAGAAATAACTAGCACTAATTCAAATGCATTTTTTTTTCTAGAAAAAAGTTTTACCAGGCTATTATTGCTTGCAAAATAGTCTCTCCAACCGTATGACTATATTTTCTCTATGGTTCTAATAAGAATGTTAAGCATACTTCGAACATTACTGCTGTGGCGTGACAATTCTCTGGCTTATCTAGGATTTGCAGAACTCATGGGTGAGACGCGTCTATTTTCGAGGCGTAATGCAAATATGCTTGGCGTCTTGCCTATTTTTGGCACTGGTGGTATTCTTATAAGAACTCTTTGTCCTTACCCAACATCATCTTAAATTCCATAACACATAAAAGAATATACAAGTGTTAGTCGATCTCTACGCTAGTGAGTAATCAATCAATTTTTAAACATGTATTGATAATGTTGTGTTCGTCAAAAAATAAAGTGCAATTTAGAAAGTGTTCTAATTTAATTGTTATTTTTGTATTGTTTGTTTTCATAGTACTTTACTAAATAGAATCCATAGAGCTATTATAGAATCCTAAACAATTCAGTTATTGTTGATTTGCAGACATTGAGGGCGTTTCAAATGATATAAAGATGGTGTTATTTATGCATCTGTTTTTTGGCGAGGAAAATATATCTTTTAATATTTTTTTTCTTGACCTACAAAATTAATAGTTAATGTTATATTTGAAATGTATAGCTCATTATGGCCAAATATTGTCCTCCTCACCAACAACCGCATTATAACTACCATCAGATAGGCCTAACCGTAATAATGACGTCATAGTTTCATCATGTCATCATTTTGTCTATATTCATTATTATCATTGTACCAATCTTCATAAATAATAATCATCATTAGTATGTAGGCCTAGTTATCATCACCCTTCCATCGTTAACAGTCCATTTCCTAATGACATATCTGTTTAACTTCAATTCATTACAATCTCTCTACCTTCCAATGAAGCTAAAAAAAATTCTATGCACATTAATGATATAATGATGATGGTGGTAATGCTTTACTTAATTTCATTAATTTATTTCCAGGCAAAGCTTAAACACAATAAAACAGTAACACAATAACAAACAACACAAAGAACACAATCCCCAATTTCTTCACGAGCGTGTCGGCGGTATAATAAAGATAATAAATAATATAATAATAATAATAATAATAATAATAATAATAATAATAATAATAATAATAATAATGATAATGATAATGATAATGATAATGATAATAATAATAATAATAATAATAATAATAATAATAATAATAATAATAATAATAATAATATAGACCTATATAATACAATAAAGTTGCATCTATGCACTTGAACAACAAGAACAATATCCATGAAAAACAATTCCCTACCAGTTTACAGACCGACAGTCGAAGTGTACCACTGTGAACGAGTGCATTATCAGATATTTATACTAG